AAGGAAGGAAGGAAGGAAGGAAGGAAGGAAGGAAGGAAGGAAGGAAGATTATAATGAGAGTGAGGGAGGGTCTGAGGGAAGTCCTGCCTTAGCCCTTGTCCACCACAGGTGCCCGTGACACGAGTGACGTCGAGATGGCTACGCCCACCCTGGCCACGCCCACCACCTTGGCCACGCCCACCCCAGTCCTCCAAGGTCAAACACAACCCTGATGCGGCCCTCAATGAAATCGATTTTGACAGCCCTGTATTAATGCATGAGGTTTCAAGCAACACAACACTTTCCCTCTCCCTCATATCACACCTCTCTCTCTTCTCTTCTACACAATGTGCATTTCATTCTGGTGGCCCGGACTAGCCGTCTTCCTGTTTGGAGGCCGTCTCTTACCTTTGCTGGAGAGATGCTTCCATGTTACTGTCGGTTCTGGTCTCCCAAAGGCTAAGCACAGGAGAGTGACACTGCTGCCTTCGTTGATGGTGATGTCTGATGAGATGTTTATAATCTGAGGGGGAACTGCAACAAAACAACGGGGAAGGACATCAGTACATTGCACATTTTATGCTGACGTTAGTGACGGCAGGTTCATTTTTCTTGACCTACTCCGTACGAAGAAGACGGGGCTTCTTGCCGAAGGAAGGAAGGAAGGAAGGAAGGAAGGAAGGAAGGAAGGAAGGAAAATAGCAATAGCACTTAGATTTATATACCGCTTCACAGTGCTTTTCAGCCCTCTCTAAGTGGTTTGCAGAGTCAGCATATTTCCCCCCCAACAATCTGGGTCCTCATTTTATTGACCTTGGAAGGATGGAAGGCCGAGTCAACCTTGAGCTGGTCAGAATCAAAGGAACTGGACTCCTGGCAGTGTGAGCAGTGTTAGCCTGCATTCTAAATGTTGAGTCAGTCTTCCATCTTTCCAAGGTTGGTAAAATGAGGACCCAGATTGTTTGGGGGCAATAGGCTGACTCTATAAACTGCTTAGAGAGGGCTGTAAAGCATAGTGAAGCGGTATATAAGTCTAAGTGCTATTGCTGTTACTTCTTCCCTCCCTCCTTCCTTCCCTCCCTTCTTCCAGTGGTGGCACAGTGGTCAGAATGCTGTAATGCAGGCTAACTCTACCCACTGCCAGTAGTTTGATCTCACCAGGCTCAAGGTTGACTCAGCCTTCCATCCTTCCGAGGTCGGTAAAAGGAGGACCAAAATTGTTGGGGGCAAGATGCTGTCTCTGTAAATCACTGAGAGAGGGCAGGAAAGCACTGTGAAGTGGTATATAAGTCTATTGCTGTTCCTTCCTTCCTCCCTCCCTTCCTCCCTCCCTTCCTTCTTTCAGTGGTGGCACAGTGGTCAGAATGCAGTATGCTATGGCTATTTTCCTCTTTGCCTCCCTCCCTCTCTTCCTTTTCTATTAACTCTATTTTTTCTGAACTTTTGGTCTTCCTTCCTTCCTTCCTTCCTTCCTTCCTTCCTTCCTTCCTTCCTTCCTTCCTTCCTCCCTCCCTCCCTCCCTCCCTCCCCAGTGGTAAGAATGCAGTATTGCAAGCTAATTTAGCTCACAGCCAGGAGTTTGACTGACTCAGCCTTCCATCTGTCCGAGGTGGGTAAAATGAGGACCCAGATTGTTGGGGGCAAGAGGCTGACTCTGTAAACCGCTGAGAGGGGGCTGTTAAAGCTCTGTGAAGCGGTATATAAGTCTAAGGGCTATTGCTATTGCTAACCACTGCGCTACCAGGGCTCTTCAATCAATAAGCTGAGTTCTGAAATAAATGTGCAGCGGAACAAATCCGTTTAATTACTCACGAGGTGTTTTGTTTCAGAACCAAAGATTACGTTGCCTAACCGTCCACTGAATTTTAGATTCCGTCACCTGCAGGTAGTCCTCAATTCACGAGGACAATTGAGCCCAAAATTTGTGTTGCTAAGTGAGACAGATATTAAGTGACTTTTGCCCCCATTTTATGACCTTTCTTGCCGCAGCAGTGAAGTGAGCCACTGCCTTTGTTAAGTTAGTAACACAGTTGTTAAGTGAATCAGAAGGTCACAAAAAGGGATCGCATGACCCCGGGACACTGCGACCGTCATAAATAGGAGCCAGTTGCCAAGCATCTGAATTTTCATCCTTCATGACCATAGCGATGTTGCAACAGTGTGAAAAGTGGTCATTTGTCACCTTTTCCAGGGTTGTTGTAACTTCAAGCAGTCACTAAATGAATGATTGCAAGTCAAGGATTGCTTGTAGTACATTTTATTGGCAGATCGCAGAAAAGAGCTTTTAAGAGGCTTTCTCTTCATTTTCCATTGGGGGGAAAAGAAACTGATCATTTGTGTGTGTGTGTGTGTGTGTAAACTCTTTGAAAAGATACAACCCCTTTTTTAAAAGCAAAACGAATAAAACTATCAGTGGGGAAGGGGAGAGAGAGAGGGTGGGGAGTCCACAAGGGCAAGATTTTTATCCTATCCTTATGGAAGCTGGTTTTCCTATTCATCCACCTCTGGCAGGATGTTTTGTTATTCGATTCTGGAAAACAAATACGATGTACATAACTGTCAAAGAAAACGTCAAGTCACAAGCTGAGTTCTGTTCCATTTTCCCCTTTATTTCTATTTATTATTTCTATCATCTATTTATTTTATTTTATTTATTTCTTTTATTTTTATTAATCATATTTCTATGCCGCCCACTTTCCGAGGACTCTGGGCGGCTTACAACAATCGACGGTATACTAGATAGCATATTGCCCCCAACAATCTGGGTCCTCATTTTACCCACCTCGGAAGGATGGAAGGCTGAGTCAACCTTGAGCCGGTGAGATTTGATCCGCTGATCTGCTGAACTAGCAGTCAGCTGAAGTAGCTGCAGTACTGCACTCTAACCACTGCGCCTCTTCGGCTTTATTTATTATTTCCCTCTATTTCTATTTCCCTCTATTGGCATAGCACGCCAAGACAACTAGACAAAAAGGCAATTTTTTTACTTCACACCATGCTATCGTTCTGCTAAACAATTAATTCCCATCACCTTGTCTATGCCCTAGGACCGTCATGGCGAGCCTATGGCACGCATGATACAGGTGGCACGCAGAGCCATATCTGTGGGCATGCGAGCATTGCCCTAGCTCAGCTAAAGCGTGCATGCACGTGCCAGCCAGCTGATTTTTGGGCCTTCCGGAAGTCAGGAAATGGGCTGTTTCTGGCCTCCAGGGGTGGGGAAGGCTGTTTTTGCCCTCCCCAGTCTCCTAGAAAGCCTCTGGAGCCTGGGGAGGGCGAAAAATGGGCCTACCGTGCCCACCGTGCCATCACATACCAAAAGCACGGGGGGGGTGTCTCGTGCACATGCACGGGGGGGCGGGGCCCATTGAATTATGAGTGTGAGCATGCATGTGTGTGACCCTCCCCCTGTGCTCCCCTCTTCTTTTGGCACGCGGCATGCCCTAGGATGTCAAATCACCTAGCAGAGCTGTATTACCTATTATCCTTCTCATCTTCTCATCTTTCCTATTACCTATTTCCTTAGCTTCTTATGATTATAACTTTGTTGTTTGTCTCTCATGATTGATGTTGATTTCTTTTGTTTAGCATCCTATTATGATTGATGCTGTTTGCTTATTTAGTATCCCATGACCATCACTGAATTTTGTTAACTATGATTTATGATTATTGTATTTGATGATGATGATGATGATGATGATGATGATGATGATGATGATGATTTATTTATTATTTATTCAATTTATATCCCGCCCTTCTCCTAGTGGACTCAGGGTGGTGCACAGCCAGAACTAAAACACATACCAATACAAAATTTAAAATTTTTAAAAGAATTATATGACTTTGGCCCAAAATTTAAAACATTCAAACTAAAACCCATTGACAATTTAAAAAGCTAAAAAAAAAAAAAAAAAATTAAAAGCTAAAAAAAAGATAAAAAAAAAAGGGGGGTGGGTGGGTTTCACGCCAGTCCTGCTTGATGGAAAAGAAAAGTTTTTAGGGCACGGCGAAAGGCCCGGAGATCCGATATCCTTCGTATCTCCGGGGTCAAATCGTTCCAGAGGGCGGGAGCTGCCACAGAGAAGGCCCTCCCCCTGGGGGTCGCCAGCCGACATTGCCTGGCTGACGGCACCCTGAGGAGTCCCTCTCTGTGGGAGCGCACTGGTCGGTGGGAGGCTATTTATCACTTGCTGCTTGTATGTACACTGAGAGCTTATGCACCGGAGACAAATTCCTTGTGTGACCAATCATACTTCTATTCTTATTTTTTTTTTCTTCAGCCTTCCATGCTACAGTAGTGGCCAAAATTGTGGAAACCTTTTGGGAAAAGTGAATTTTCTAAAACTAGCTAATAACACCACTTTTTTTTGGGGGGGGGAGTAGTACCATAAATTTACATATCAATGGAAAGATAATTTAATCAAGAATGTGATGCAGTAACTTTTATGGAGGATTTGCTATGAGAATAGCAGTTACACTATAAAGAAGAAAAGTGAAACATGTAGAAAAAACGAGATATACAAAAATGATCACCGTAGAAAAAACAAGATATACAAAAATGATTACCATGTCAGTTAATACATAGTTGGGTAACCTTTAGCATGAATTACAGCCTTACAGCGTCTTCCCAGGGAGTGAACCAAGTCTTTGAGTTCTGCAGCTGTTATAATGTGAAACCAAGATTGAGGTTTGCTTCTATTAACTGGGTTTTATTGCTGGGTTGCTTCTGACTAACAAGTTTCTTTAGTCGGCTCCATAGATTTTCCATTGGGTTAAGAAGGTCTGGGCTATTCCCAGGCCATTCCAGCAGTGGAATAGGATTATCTTGAAACTCCAAAAAAGAAAGTGGTGTTATTAGCCACCAAACCTCAAAAATACACTTTTCTAAAAGGGTTTCCACAATTTTGGCCACTACTGTAATGATATCCTTTGCCTTTCATGGGAAAGAATTCGAAACATTTTGAAATATATATATATATATATATTTTAAAAAAGACTCTTTACTCTTCGGTCTGTTACTCTGCTCTAGGCAATCTAACGCCTAGCAGATCTGAAGGGCAGCTGATACCTTACAAAAACTAGAAGAACCATCTACGGGGAAAAATGATTCAGCCTTTCTCAATCTATATATCTTTTTTTCTATATCACTATTTCTCCCTTCCTCCTCCCCCCCCTCTTTTTATTTTTAATATAAAAGACACTGGCTTGAAAAGATGTTCTTCAGGAATTCTTCTCTGTCTTTGTTGTTTATTCTTCCCCTGAATCATAATCCCATGTTTATGCCTTCAAAATTGGTTGCTATGGTAGTTATTGTGGCCTTGATAATGCATTTCGTATCAAAACAGCAAAGAAAAAAAGGAAAGCGAGAGATAGTTCAAGGACAGGGAAAGGGTTGTCTCTGGACTTAAACCGAGGTTTATCCATGGGACTTCAACTCCAGATACCTACTGTAGATATGGATTACAAGAGCAAAGGTGAAAAATACCATCCTTCTTACTGACGAGAATAAGAACAAACCAGGTTTGAAGTGGTGC